CTACTGACCGACAAACTGTTCAGTCCCTGAGTGCTAGGACATAGACAATGACACTCGAAGTCCTCTGGAGCCCTCTGGAAGGCCTGCTGAGCCTGTCCACCCCCAGATAGCTCTGGGCCCACCCAGCTGCGTGGACAAGCTCAGGGTGTGGAGGGACCTGGCAGAGGGGACTAGGGAAGTCCCCAGGGCTGGGCAGGGCTCAGGGCCCAAAGGATGACAGCTAGCGCTCTGTGGCCGGCAGAGGGGATCCTACTGGGAGAAGACACGCAGCCAGATGGCAGAGGGAAGGCACCGGCTGGAGCCTCCGCTGGGAAAATTAATTAAGGCTTCATTAGTGCCAGCCTGCCCCTGTCAGCTCCCAAGGGCGCCCAGGCCTGGCCGCCCTGCCCCAGCCGGGAGTTAATCACTCAGCCTCTAATGAATGTGGCTGTCTGGGAGGTAGCCAGAACCACTCCGAATTGTCCGCAGCCTGGGCAGGAGGGAGGCTGGGGAGCCCAGGTCTCCTGGCAACCTGGAGTCACACACCGGTAGCTGGAGGTGGGAGGGCCCCACACCCTTCTCACCCTAGGGACCAGAGTATCCCTGTTTGAGCTCCAGAAAGCCAGAATCAGGGCAGGCGGGAAGGCACCAAGAAGCCCCTTCCTGCGCTGGTGTGCGGTGTGGTTTCTCTGCCCCTGGCCAGCGCCCTTCCGGCCCCCGGCGGTACCACACCTCGTGTGTGTCCTGTGGTTGGTGGCCGGCAGGCTCCTTCCTGCAGGGTAACCTGAAGAAGGCTGCTAGGAAAGCAGACCCCTCTCTACAGCACCCATACATACGTCCCCTCACGGGGACCCATTTGTGACCCCAAAACACAAGGCACGTTTCCATTCTAAAGATTTATCACAGAAAGAGTCCATTGGCATTAATCCCATCAAAATCCTCCCCTTGGCTGGACACACGGGCCCCAGGCTTCTGCCACTTTCTGGAGGAGTCCCAAGGTCCTGCTCTGTGGGTAGCTTTAGTTGCTGTGTAGCGGCTGCCTTGATGCCCCAGTCAAGCCAAACCCTTAACCTGTCATGATCCTCCTGACTCTGGGGAGACCCGGGAGCCCGCCGGCACCAGATCTGGTGAACCCAGCGATGAGAACACACCGTGAGCCTGCCCTGTGTTGGACTCTCAGTAGTTTTTATCATGCCTCAGAGCGACCTTGAGAAAGAGGACTCCCAGAACTGCTCCGGAAGGCAGGGGCCGGTCGGGCCAGTGCCTTTGAAGCAGGAGGGGTGTGTGAGGGGGGTGCTCAGGGAGCTCCCTGACAGTGTGCCTCTTAGCGAGGGATAAGTTTCTCAAACATTCACCGTATATTCCAACCTCACCTGATAAGACTGGGACTCTGTTGGGTTCAGGCTCAGAGACCCACTGAACGCTTTCCAGCAAGGCAGCCCCAGCACAGACCCCAAAGTCTCGGCGGGGTCCAGCGGGAGCACATCCGAACGGCGTCCCGGAGTGCAGTCAGATGATGACAGTGTCTGATGCTTTGCTGGCAATGCCCCGAGGACTCGTGCCATGGAGCACTTTCTGGGGTTCGCTGGCCACTGGGTCCCTTGGGCACTGTTATGGATTAAGAACTGGTGGTCAGCTTAACGCCAGCTGATTACATCAGCATGGCACTGAGCAAAGATGCTCCACCTGAGGAAAGTTGCCAGCATAAATATGTGGAGAAGGTTAAGGTGTTGAGGTGTTAATGCGTTGAGGTGTTGAAGCATTGTGGGCCCGTCATGCTGGCTTCCTGGGATGTACCCGACTGTGCTTGTCGTTGGAGGAGCTCAAAGCCTCCATGTGGCTGAGGATGGCTGTGGTGCTTTCAGGACAGGCCTGGTCTTTGTTGTGAGTGTGACTTCTCAGCTCCAGCATAGAACCCTCAACCCACCAGCACAGCTCCTTCACCCTGCTGGCATGGACTTTATGGCCTCCACCGCTGACCTTTGGGCCTTCCCAGCATGGATCTGTAAAGAGACTGAGGTGAGTTCTTCTTGTGGGCTCTGGACCTCCAGCTGGACTTGTGGGAGGCATTGTCCTGAGCTCTGGGTTTTTATCTGGACTCATGTGGGACATTGCTGTGGGATTCAGGCTCTTGACTAAGTATTCTATGTCTTTAGTGTTGTGGATAGATGTCCTGTATTTTCTTGTGTTAACTCCTGGTGCCCATTATAAAATAATATTATAAACTCCATGTCCTGATTCTAATTGTTCTCCACACAACCCCTGACTACAGCAGGCACCCTCTTTTGAGATGCACCTGTTCAGGTCTTCTGCCATGTTTAAAACTGATTCTGTCTCTAACACACTGCTGCAGAGTCTCGTAAAGTCCCACACCTGTGATGTGTGCATGGTTCCTGTGTGCCCCAGTCCTCGTTCATTCCTGGGCGTCACACAAGGCCAATGTCCTCTTCAGCTTGTCATTTTACTCCTAATAATGCCTTTTGCTAAACTGAGATCTTTTAAGACAATCAACATTTTTCCTTCATGGAAAAATGTCCCACATCCAGATGTTTTCACACACCGAAAGTGGAAGGTAGGAGCGGGGCCCCCTGGACAGGTGACAGTGCTTGCTGCCACCAACCCTCGCTTCTTCTCAGCCAGGACACAAGAGGCCTTGGTCACAGGGGCTCCAGGTACCGAGCACTCGCCCTGCGGGGGAGCCCTGCAAGTAACAGGCGCCGCCTGGGGTCTGGTGGGCCTGTGCTCCCCCAGCCAGCCTCTCAGGGTGACGCCTTCCCCTGGGGACCCCCCCACCCCTACAGCATTCCATTCATGTCTGCTAGGGTCGTCTTGACATGTGTCACAGCGAATTCCCCAACAGCGCTGCTGGGAAGAACACATGAACACCTGAATGAATGAATGCCCAGACTCACAGCCCGGAAGTGGCCCGGTGAAGCAGACCTCAGACTCCTCGCCGCAGTCCCACCGACCCCTCTCCCTAGCCTGGGTCTTCCTGCTCCCCCAGCACAGGCACTGGCACTGGCCCAGTGTTTCCCGGGCTGAGTCGCCCTCCCCGGACAGCAGCCGGAGCCCACGGATTCCAGAGCAGGCATTCGGCCGCCTGGGGCAGGGGGACCACATGAAGCAGGGTGGGGACACACCGTCCCGCCCCCAAGGCTGCATCTGGCCGCCCTGGCCCCTGGCTCCCTTGGGATCCATCCCAAGCTCACTGGTGTCCTTTTAACCCAGAGCCCATGGACAGAACGGGAGGTGTATGGGGACCCTAAGCAGAGAGAATTAATGGGGGCCGGGCTGCCTGCCGTGCTGAGCTGCCCCCTGCCCTCAGTCCCTTGGGGAATGGTGAGGTGCACAGGCCCCATACATGCCCTGCTCTGCCCTGCCTGGGCAAGCAGTGTTGCTCAGTTCTCTGTGCCTCAGTCTCCCCATCTGTAACCATGGTGACAATGGTTCGCCTGAGCGACTGGGAGGGCAGGGTGCTGGCACCGTACCCAGCCATCTTGGGGCTCCGTCAGCCCAGGGTTGGTGCCTCATGGGCCTACATCCACTGTCCCCCACCTGCCTGGGACACAGGCCCTGAGCCTGCCTGGCCTCCGGGGTCCAGCTGCAGGCTTTGGAGCGTAACCCAGGCCTGACTACTAGAAGGCCCCATGTCCTGGTCTGGGATGGACTCAGGACTGGCACGCAGCCCTGGCTGGCCAACCGGAGCTCCCTGGACCCCTGCTGGGCTGGGCCACTGGGGCTGTAGCTGTCAGGAAGATGTAGCCCCTCTCTGCCAGATACACTCCCTTCCCACACCAAGACAAAAGGAGACTGTCACCTTACAGGGTCTTAAAAGGATAAATTTACACTGGTTTATTTCAGCAGGCTGTATGTACCCTAATCAGAGAGACACCCACGGAACAGGCAACATGCAAACCAAGCACAGACAAAAGCCACCACAAGCCAAGAAATACTGTATGTCAGCAGGACCTGAGAGAGGCAAGAAAGGATTCTCCCCCAGAGTGTCCAGAGGGAGCCAAGCCCTGCTGCACCTGGATGGTAGCCTTCTGGCCCCCAAAACGCTGAGAGAATGCATTTCTGTCGGTTGAGGCCACAAAACTTGTTACCATAGTATTTACTATGGCAGCCCCAGGAAATGAATATGGATGGTGAGTGCTGGAGCACTTGGAGCCATCTTGTGCCATGTGGAGAGGGTGAGCTCAAGTCTCCGAAGGAGGGGTAGAGAGGGACAGAGGACTAAGGAGATCCCTGAGGACACTGGGTCACCCTTGAAGGCAGCCTTCCCTAGTGGGTCTGCCCAACATAAGCTAACACATCTCCCTTCTTCCTTAACCCAGCTTGAATTGCTTGACTGCTATCCTTCACTCATGGAAAACAGGTCAAATCTTTGACCCACGAATCCCAGCTTTCTGCTCTAAGAAAATATAACCTGTACAAGAACAGTCGCTGTAGTGAGGAAAAGAAAAATAGAAACAGCACAGACATGGCATTTCAGGACAGGCATTCGTTAACTATAGGGCATCTTTACAGGAGAAACTATGCAATCACTACAAACCATGTTTTCGGGCTCATTATAAAATGGTAAGGAGAAGCAGGACGTTAAAAATGCATACATACACACATGTACATAAATTCATGGGTTTCCTACCAGCAGAATATCTCCACTTTAAAAGTCTTTTGCTTTAGATTATTTTTAAGGAAACCAAACATTACACATCCCGTTGAAACCCTGTGTGACATCCCCCGTGCTGTTCCCTCTCCAGCCCGCCAGTATTATTCCCCTGCGTGCTTTTAAATATCCGCTCCCCCTGCGAGCATCTGCGGGCAGCGCAGAAATGCGGCTGCTACATTTCAATACGCAGTGCGAGGCCGCCGCTTGGCTTTCACTCGGCCGACGTGTCCACGCGTTCACTCCATCTCGGCGAGCGCGCCTCCAGCTCATTAATTTTAACTGCCGCCAGGAATTCCAGTCCTGTGCACTCCCTTCTGCTGGCTCATAAATGCCGAGATGAGGAACAATATTTTTGGACTTGAAGATGCCACACTTGGGGGGCGGGGATTTAGCTCAGGGGCACAAGCACCTGCCTGACAAGCAGGAGGTCGTGAGTTCGATCTGCGGTACCAAAAATAAAAATAAAAAATAAAAAGACGCCACGCTTCTCACTGTCTTTCTAGGACAGGGCTGAGTCCATCCCTAGGGACTTGCACAGGGGGAGCAGCAGCTGTGTCTCCTCTTCATGGGGTGTTGCTGGCCCTAATGGCAGGGGTGGGAGGGGGCTCTGCGTCCTCCACGTCCCCTGGACACTTTTCCAGCAGGTAGGATGTGTCAGCTCTGGGGTTTGGGGCTTGTTTTGCTTTTTAGGGTGTTTTGTTTTGTCACAAGGGCATTAAAACGCTAGGGCTCTGCACTCAGCTACACCCCCAGTCCTTTGGCTAGTTTGTTATTTTAAAACAACCCAAATGACATCCTGCCTCAGCCTTGTAGGCAGGCACCACCAAGACGGGCTTCAACTGTGTCATAAGAGCTTTTAGTTTCTTCTTTGCAGTGACGGAGGGCACCGTTTGGGAGGCGGCCTGTCCTCTTGGTCTGGAAACACCGGGCAGCACCCTGCCAAACACCCTCACCCTCTGTTCGCCCGCAGCCAGCAGCTCTGGGCAGAGATCCCGCCTCGCAGGCAGCAGCGATTGGGCCGGGCTCAGGCACGTGACCCAAGAAAGGCCAATCAGAGTCCTTCTCTGGCTCCGGTCAGACTCTAGTTTGTGGGTGCTGAAAGCCTGTTGGAGTTTTATCTACACGGTGAGCAGTTTTGGGGGAGAAAACTGAATGGATTATGTGTTCCGGGCGGGGTCTCCAGAAGGTGGCAGGGATTAGACCAGGTCGTTAGGGTGGAGCACCTGTGACTAAATGCTGGGACTTTGTAAAAAGGGAGAGACCAGGACACACACACGTGCATGCACTCGCATGATCACACGCACCGGGCCCTTGCCACGGGATGCCTGTGCCACCTCTGAGAAAACAGCCCGCGTGAGGACAGTCAGCATACAGAAGCCATCAGCACCCGTGGCCCTTTGACCCTGGAGCAGATCCGTGAGCATATCACCTTTCCGTGTCCCACCCGTTGTGCAGCGTCTGGTTAGCAGCAACAAAAAGTCCACGAGGCACCTGGGATTTCCAACCGAAGCTCGAGGAGAGCCGCTCTGTCCTACTTGTCCCCGTGTAGGCACGAGGACCCCAGAGCCACCGGGGCCTAGGGAGGGGTCGTGGCAAGCAGGCCTCCCACTCGGCCCAAGGCTCTGCAGCTCTGACCTGCAGGGCTGCAAAGACCAGGCGCTGTGGAGGCGTGGCCTGGCCAGAAACCTGCCCGGCCAGGAGGGTCGCCCCCCACATTCTAGCTCCTACCTTCTTTTATTTTGTACCTAATCCTACTTTGGGGGGTTAAAGGAGAGTTGCTTCCACAGCCTCCACACTGGTCTGCAACCCTTGCCCTTGTGTATCTTTTATGTTGGAATGGGGCCTCATTAAGGCACTCAGTGGCTCACGTGGGCCTCCCAGCATGCTGGGATCACAGGTGTGCGCCAGCTCACAGCAGGAGCAGGGGCAGGGGCAGGGGCAGGGGGCCTGCTGACCTGTGGGAGGGGCTGGCAGCTCCCCACTCCACCTCCTCCTCTTCCCACACAGGCTCAGAAGGCTGAGAAGAGGCGGCTTAAGGGACAACTCCAGCCAAATCAATTAGTGCTAAAACCCTTGAGCAAACACAGCTACTTTTGTCGTTTTACAATGTTCTGATCTGAGCTGCAAAAGAAATTAAATTAAAAACGCAGGAGTCCAGGTCAAAACCCTGGCCGCTCTTGTTGGTTTTTAATCTCCTATTAAACGATGTATCTTCTGATGGCTTTTGTCGGCTTATTCAATGTAATAACCCAGGACAGGCGGCCTGCTGACCTCCTCATTCCTGCCACGTGGCCAGGTCAGCGGCCAGCTTGAAATGGGGATGGGCAGGTGGGCCATAGTCACAGGGAACCAGGGAGTGGGTACAGGGGACCTAGGGAGCGGAGCTGAGCACAGGGCAGGGCAGGCGGGAGCCCCAGGGCCTTCTGTGGCCCCTCACGTTACAGAGGAGCCCCGGGGCCACAGACAGCACCAGTTTCTCCAAGCCCCTCTCAAAAACAAGCTCAGAACCCGAGGCCCTGGACACCCAGCCCCTGGAAAGGGTCTGAGCCTGAGCTGGGAGCGTGTCCTTGGCTCTCCGCTCTCCTCATCTGCATGTATGGGCAAGAAAATTAGAGGCTCCACCTCCATCTTCAGGGAGATCCTGGGCTGACGGAAGAGGCGGCTTCTGTGCTTGGGGACCTCCCCAGGCGATGAGGGGATGCCATGTGAAGGCACCGGAAACTGTAGTAACCAGGCCTATGAGTTCTGATTTGGACAGCAAAAGAAATTAATTCCATGTTTTGGCAAGAACAAGAAGGGTGGCAGGGAGCTGGCATCAGCTTCCCCTGGAAGGGCTTCCTGAGGAGGCTGAGCAGAAGGGGGCACCTCCAGACAGCTTAGGGGAGTCGTGCTGCAGAGCCTGGGCATCCTCGGCGAGTGGACACATACGGGCACACTTCTAAATGTGCTACAGCCCTGTACATACACACTCACACCTGCAAGCACGAACTAATCCATGCATCCCCAGAATCCCAGGCCTAAGCGCTGGGATGAGAAGCAGGAGCTGTCTCCTCCTTCCACGCACAAACGTGTACGTGGGCACATGCATTTGTGTCCACACAATCATACACAGGCTACACAGGCACACGGGGCCTGTGCTTTACATGGTGCTCAAATAGGCTGGAATCTGCATGTGGGCAGGGGTTAGGGGTCAGGGGTTAGGGTGTGCTGGCCTCTGGTGGCTGAGTCATCTGTTGAAAGTTCCTGAGCCCCTGCCTGTGCTGCACCTGTGCCCCTGCCCTTGGCACAGTCCAGCTGCCAGAGGATACTCCTAGGCGAGCCCCTTGAGTCCAGGGTACCCACAGGAGGGGGAGGACTCTCCAGGGGGTGGAGCAGGACTCTACTGGTATCCCAGCAGCCACTTGCTCCCTTGTTTTGTAGTTGGCCTCCAGGGCAAGGCAGGTTCCTGCAAAGTGGACCCTGAGCTGGAGATCGGTGTGCAGGGCTTCTGGGGAAAACTCCTGGGCACAGCCCCTGTGGGTGAAGGAGGAACGTGGGGCAGAGGGAGAAGCTGAGCAGGAAAGCAGCCACAGCCCTGTGGCCACCCAAGGGTGGGGAGACTGTGCCCAGAGATGGCCCCTACAGGCTGTCCTACCTGGGGACAGGGGACCATCCTCTACCCTCATGCATCTACTGGTCATGGATGCCAGCTGCTCCAGAGAGCAGGTGTGTTAGATTTTATCACTACGTCAAATACCTAGGAAAGCCGTTTACCTCATGGCAGCCAGGAAGTGGAGAGAACTGGAAAAAGCCAGAGAGAGGGCAAGGAGCTGGGAACAGAGCACATCTCTTCAGGCCCCAACTCCAGACCAAGACAACGGGAGACCTTGAAAGAGGAGGTGATTTCAGCCAAGACCATCTACAGGGAGGAGGGGTTCGGATTGGAGCTAGCTGTCAGCTGCAGTGTCCCCACAGCTGGAGAACGATCTGCATCCTGAGGAGGGAATTTGGGGTCCACTGTGGTCTCCCCAGTGCCTTCCAAAGCAGGTCTCCCCCAAGGCCCTCCTAGCATGGTTGAACCTGCCTCTCTTGGGTATTCCTGGGCCCCGCTCCTCACCCATCTGCCCATACCACCTCATTTTGGACGGATCTCTGCAACTCCAGGTTTGGGGTCTTTCCTCTTGCTCCCCAGAAAATCAGGGCATGAGCCCCCCCCCACCCTCCACCTGGACCTGGGACGGACTCCGAGCCCAGGGAACTGAGTCACCAGGTCGGGGTCTGGACAGGCCCCACCTGTTGATGCACCATGAGTCAGACAGCGGGACCCAGGTCACCTGTCTCACTCCGAGCTGACAACAGTGGGTGGGCTGGTGGCTTTGTTACTCAGCAGGCTCCCTGGGCACAGATTGCTTTCTGTGTCTGTCACAGGATACCCTCCTGCTTACCTCTGTGACACTGTCACCATCACCATCTACTGTCACCCTGCCCTGCCAAGAGCAGGGGCCCAAGGCCTCTGGATCCGAAGAAAACCTTGCATTTCCTCGGCCGGGAAGGTGTAAGCCACAGCACAGCATGGACGCCTGTGTCTGCTCCCCAGTCCTGTGTGCGGCCTGCCTGGCAGCCCAGAGCACAGCAGGTTTAATCGGCAGCGTTTTCCCTTGGGGTAACCATGTGCCAGATTCTTCCAAACTCAGCAGTATTTTTGTACGCATGCGCCAAGGCCAAACCACTCGCCACACACCCCTGCCTCTGCCTTCCCGGCTGGGCTCTGAGTCTGCCCTGCCCCCGCCCTGTCCTCGCACAGGCAGAGGCAGGGCAGAGCCTGCTCCCGCTATTTTTGGAGACTGGGGCAGACCTTACCTCCAGGGCGCAGAAGACCTCAGCCCGGTGGCCACACCACCTTTTGGGCCTCCAGAGCATTCTGGGCCTGCGCTGAAGCAGGCAGAGCTGAGAAGCCTGGGGTTTGAGAAGAAAACTTGGCATTGGAGGGGGGCGGGGGCCCAGGCTGGCCTCCCGGGACTCTGCACCCAGGCAGCCTCTCTGCTCCCCGGGGGCTTGGCTGAGCGCGGATCCCTACTGAGCAGGCAGGCTACCAGAGCAGGACACTGGGCAGGGCGTGAGCAGTGTCCCCACACCAGGCAGGAGGTCCTGTGCCCCTCCTCACCCTCCACAGCAAGGGCTGCAGGAGGAGGAGAGGCCAGCAGTTTCCCTGGGGCCCAGGCTGACCCTCCTCACTCATCCCTGCACAAACGTGGGCTGAGCACCGGTGTAGGCCCACACACGGAGCTGGGTCCTGGGGACGCAGCGGTGCTGCACATGGGCAAAACTCTCTCCTCCCGAGGACTCTACCTTCTGGCGTGGTAGAGTGACAGAGGTGTCACTTCCGGGCTCTGGTTAGGGTCAAGCATGGAATGACAGCAATGCTGGGAGCCACAGAGAAAACGCAGCCGGAGAAGGATGGGAGGGCTGGAAACACTGCTTCACGGAGCACAGGGAGGGTGGAGCAGGCCCGGTGCAGCGGGAGGTGTCTGCGGGCTCTGTGCTGTTAGCAGCAAGTGCAAAAGCCCTGGGGAGAGGTGGACTTGGGGCGGCCACCGCTTACAGGAAGGGCAGGGCGGGCGCCGGGGGAGGGGGAAGGGCAGGGAGGTGAGCAGCCCGTTCAGGGGCTTTCTGGGCCACAGGAGGGAGTCCGGCCCCCACACTGAGTGAATAGGCAGCAGGTTGGCAGGTTCGGTCTGAGGGTTGGTTCAGCGGGACAGGCAGCAAGGCAGAGCAGGAAGAGGTGGAGGCAGTGGTGCTGGGAGCGAGGTTCTGTTTACCAGATGGAGCACGGAGATCCGCTCACAGGCAGTGGCCAGCACGTGTCTCAGGGATCAGCTGCTGCTTCGTGACAAGCCCTGCCCAGTCCTTGGGACCGTAAAATGAACAGTTCTCTCTTTGGCTCATGAATCTGCAGATCTGGACAGGACCCAGGCATGGGGCTCCTTTCGATTCCACAGGACATTGGGGGCCTCCCTGGAGGGGGTACAGCCACCTGCAGCATGGGTCACCCTGCAGCTGGCTCGGCCCTGTGCATGCGGCCCCCTCAGGGCCTTGGGCTTTCTGCGATGTAGTAGGTGGCTTCCAAGGGGAAGGTATAGGAGTGGGGTTGAGAATCTTCCGGTGCCTCAGTTTCCCTGCCAAGCTGCTGTACGTTCATCTTAGGATTATCATGGATACAGGTGAGCTTGGCCACAGGGCGCCAGGGTTAAAGGGTGGGAAACGCAGGGGACAGCTGCAAGGCCCCCGGTTCTGCCCGCTTCCGTCTTCACCAGAGGTCCACCATCCCTGGGCAGGGGACCAGACCCTTGTCTCACGGCACACAGCTTTGTGGCTGTCAGCAATCTGCACTGTGTCGAGAGGAAGGAGACAGCATGTGATCCTGCGACGCTCGGCCTGGTGCATGCTTTGGTGGGGGCCACCTGCCATTACTGGCCTGCCAGAGACAGCTGTGCCACCTTACCCAGGGTCCTCCCCCTGGAGGGAAAGGACCTATTTCTTCCCACCTGTCAGATACAGGGTCTGCTTAGAAGACACCCATGCCTCAAGGCGCCGCTGTCCCGTGGGTCTCATGGGACCAGTGTCCCTCCCCACCCAGGGAAGCCTGAGGCAGCTGCACTGGGGAGCACTGCAGGAGGCTCCTGGCTCTGACCCCTCCTGCCTCTGCCTCCAGCATGAGCTCAGATGTGCCCAGTCCTGCACAGGGGCCCAGTGCCAGGTCAGAGCTGCCCTGGGAACGTACACTCTGGAAAGAGGTGGCCCAGCCAGCCCGCACATGCCAGGTCATGGTCTCCAGACATTGCTGACCCTGTATCTGCCACCACCACCCTGTGCCAGGCAGCCCGGGCTGGGACCCTGACATCCCTTCCCTGGTGCAGAAGAGGCAGGAGAATCGCTCTGGCAGCTGTGAGCACCCAGCTCCAATCCTGTGGCCATGGGGCGGCTGGAGCTCAGTGTGTCACCCATCCCCCAGAAATTCTAATGCCCACAAACCTCTGGGGTGTCGATAAAGTGTCCAGTCAGATTCCACCTGCATGAACCCTGATTCTGCCTTCCTAATCGGGTCCCAGTGCCACTGGTCCAGAGTCGGGCTTTGGTCTGGCCGGGGTGAGGGCACACTAGGAAACTGTGACACAGAAACCTCAATTGGAGGGGCCCCGTCAGCACCCCCACCACAGAGGACATGACAGCAGCTACTGCACATGGAGCACCTGGGGTGTCCCTGTTAGGAGCCAGGTCCTGGAGCCATGCCGCTCAGAAAGAGGAGTGAGGTGGCTCCTCCATCTGCCTGGGTCTCTGTCTGTTCATCTGCAAAATGGGGAGAGGCCCGGGAATTGGGGAGGGGACCTCACAGGGAGAGGGAAGGAAGGCGGTAGTGAAGGAAGCCAGATGGAGAGGACCTTGGCAGGAAGGGGCTGGCACTGGGCTTGGGACAGGACAAGAGTATACACGAGAGGGTGGAGGCGGGTTGGAAGCACCCCAGACCCCATCTCTCATCTACCCGGAGCTCTGGGGCCCGGTGGAAGTGATGTCCCAGCTGCAGTCCTCCTGGCACATGTCCTGCCTTTTCATTTATGAGGAAAAGGTAAAAAATGACCAGGGAGGCAGGCTACTTTCTTTTAGCAATCGCAGCAAAAATGTCACCACTGGGAGCATAAAAGCCCATCAGGCCTGGTGAGTAACGGCCAGGCCGCCTTCAGCAGGCCCAGCCACCACGGCCGCCCTCCCAGGCAGTGTTTCACCCTGGAGCCCTGTGGCCAGGCTCTCCTATAGCCGTGATGATCCTAAGATAAACGTAAAGCAGCCTGGTAGGGAAACTGAGGCACCAGAAGATTGTCAACCCCACTCCAAACCACAGACCTACTCATTCCCCAACCACTCAGAGGCTCACAGGGACTGGGCTTGTCCTGGAGGGTCCTAGAATGACCCCGGGGAAACAGGATCACCTACCTCTGCCTTCCCATGGTCCACCACCCAAATGCAAACTTCCTGTCTTGATGTTTCCCCCAGACAGCTCCTTGTCAGATGACACTGGCGGCAGGGAGGGGCGGTGGCCTCGGAGGACACAGGAACAGTGTCGCCTTGCAGCCAGAGCTAGAGAACAGTTCTGTGCCTCAGTCCCCCTACTTGGGGCCGACCGGAGGGAAGAGCAGAGGCTGAGGGTGAAAGCCTTTCAGAAGCGCCTTCTGTTCAGGCACAGCGAAAGAAGCCACGAGGCTGGCCAGCTCAGGTCGGGTCCACGCCTGCCCGCCCCGAGACTGCAGCCCCCGCCGCATCCCCGCTGCAGCTGCCCCGGCCGGGCCAGGCGCCCTCCCCATCCTGGGTGGCTGTGCGCAAGCTCGGCCTTCAAGGCCCTGGCAGGTCTTTTTCACTGAACACACAGGCCCCTCACACAGCCCACTGCTGCCCACACCTTTGTAAACCTCTGCTTCCTGTCTCTGAGACACCCTGCACCGCACACTGAGACTGACGGCTGTACACGCTCCTGGCCCTCCTCGCTGTATGTTTTAGTTCTGTGTTTGTTTATTGCCCATTATCCTCTAGTAGAAGGTAAACTCCCCCCGGGGGGCAGTTTCTTCACTTCTGCTGCCCTCCCAGCTTTGCAGCAGAGCACTTGCCTAATAAAATGCCGCTTACACCTGGTTCTTCTCAAATCACGAATTTATGTGGTCGAGCTTCTTCCTGCCGTGAGCCACACACGTGGAAGCTGTTTGCCCTGCCTTGGTGGGCACAGGAGGAAAATGAGGTCCACCATACCATTTGGGGAATCACCTCCTTCCCTTGGAAATCAGGGTGACACGCCCATCAGACCAACAGGAGCGAGAGGCCACAGAGAGCTCAAAGCGCAGGCGTCTGTGCCTGGTGTATTTTGCTTGACACATGGGGAGAAGAAGCCACCTTTTAGAGATGACAGCACAGCGACTGCCCAAGGTCACTCAGCAAGTTAGTGACCACCCAGCACCCTGGGCCACCCCAAGTGGAACCATCCTGCCACTCTGAGGGAGACCAAGCCATGTCCTCAAGGACCCTGGCTGGGACCCTGGAGCGTGTGGACCCTGGGCTCCCCGCCCCTTCCCTGGGCCGGGGTCTAGTACCATGCAGCCAGGGGAGCAGATGAGGGTTTCCCCTTGGTGTGCAATTTGAGGGGGTCACTCCCACCCCAGACAGCACCTGTTCCTGGCTGGGGTGGGGGTGCCACATTGGGGCCTCCAGTGGTTTTTATCAGGGCCTTGTGAGAATGCAGACTCTTCGGCCCCCTGAGAGCCAGACTGGGCACAGATCCGCTGTTCTGACCAGTGCCGTGGCTGCCGGGTGGGGCCCAGCGCAGGGGCTCCCCCACCCTGCCCCTCGCTGCCCCATTTATCCGCACCATTCAGACACCATAGGGATTATTTTCACCAGAGTTTTTTAAACGTTTTACAAGAAAACGAGCAATTTGTGAGCACTGTGAGTAGCAATTACCTATTGAAGGTCAGGAGCGTGTACTATGTACCTACTGTGTGCAGGGCCAGATTAGAAGTGAGTAAACGACACTGCAGCGCCGAGGCGGGACAGAGACAGACAAAGCTGCACTAATGAGCAGGAGGAGGAGGTTCCGCGCCGGAAGCGCTGGCAGGTACATGGGGACACGGGTGGTGATGATTCCACCCGCAGGGCCCGGAAAGCAGCGGAGAAGGCAGCACTTCCACTCAGCCTGGAGGATCCCAGGAAGGGAACAGAGCGGGAAGAAGCGCGGTGTCTGCCTTCCCAAGGACCTGGCCCAAGAGCCTCCTGTGCTGTGTGGCCCGGCAGGGGCCGGGGCAGCCCTGGAGCCAGGCCAAGAAAAGCAGGTGTCAGTCAGGTGGCGGGGTCCCTGTCTAAGTGGCTGTGGCTTTGCAGAAAGCCCGCACCCCTGGATCAGAGAGAGAAGCCCCGGATGTGTGTGGTGTCAAGAGGGCCAGGTGGGGGCCACAAGCACAGCAGGGTCCTGGGTGGCAAAGAGAAGCTGGAGACCAGGCTGGAGGCAGGAGAAGGTGGCCCTGAGGATGAGGGGTCCTCGGCTGGGGACAGCCAGAGGCCCATGGAGAACAGGTATGACCACGGCCTGGTCTGGAAGGAACAGGGTGCTGAGGAATCCACAGGCTCCCAGGTCCCAGGGCGGCCACAGGCTGAGCCAGCACCAGGATCTTGGTGGGTGACCTTGCCCGGGTGGCTGAGATTTTTGCCAGAGACCTCGCTGAGCCTGCACAGGACCCCACGGTCAGCCTGGGATTGAGACAAGGAGGGCAGGAGAGCTGGTGCATCCAGAGGGCCTTCCAGGAGGAGGCAGCAGGCTTCGGAAGGGCAGAAGCCTTGCCAGGGGCACCGGATCAGGCAGGCGGTTGTTAAAGGCCAGCGCTCCGGCTCAGCCGCCCCAGGCAAGTGCCCCTCTATGCGCCCCGTGCCTTGGGAAAAAAGGCTTCGCACTCTTCTGGCCCCTCTGGCTTCGGGCAGGAAGGAATGAGGAAAGGAGCCAGGAAAGGAGCCAGGGAGAGCCGCCACTGCGCTGCGGGTCGCAGCCAGCCGGTGGCCCCCAGGCCTCTTCCCCCTGAGAGGGGCCAGGCTGGCCCTGCTGAAACCTCCCAGTGGATGTGGGTGTGCTCTGCCGACTCAGCCTCCCCAGGCAGAAGTGGGCCTCAGTGCCTCTCCATCTGGAGTCCCCGCATCCTACTGACCCTGCTGGGTGACAAGTCCAGGCCCTGCTGGCCCCTCCCACTGCACCCCCATCCTGCTGCTGCCCACCTGCCCTCCCTTAGTGCCCCTGGAGCAGAGCCCCCCCTGGAAGACAGGAGTTGGAATGCAGGCCGTGGGAGACCGTTTCCCCCTCTCCCTCTGAGCCTCGGCAGGGCCCCAGGAGGAGCCAAAGAAAGAGGAAGCGGGGGCCCAGTGCCAAGCTCTGGGGGACCCGGGGGAGCTGTCTTTCCGCCCAGCACAGTTCCCCAGGCTGCAGCGTGCCCGTCACCTGCCTAATGGCGCACAGCAAGGGAAACTGGGTTACAGGTGCAAACGAGGCCGCACTACACAGCCCACAGTGACCAGAGGCAGCGGCTGCTCTGTGCAGGCCGCCCGCCCTCCTCAGCCCTGGGTCCCTGTGTCCCTAGGTGCCTGTGCCCCGCTTGACCTCAGCACAAGGCTGTCCCTGCCCCTCAGCCTGCGTGTCCCGCCTTCAGTCGCATTGGAATGGTCACCCCAAGCCAGCCCAGTGCAGTCCACGTCCCAGTCGCCACTTGCCCAGTGTCCAAAGAGGCCACTGCACAGCACCTCGCAGCCACAGAGCCTTCTGTCTCTGGACCTCAGCACCCGGACAGGTCTAGGAACACGGTTTTAGCTCAGTGGCATAAGTGCCTGCCTGGCAAGCACGAGGTTGTGAGTTCGATCCTCGATACTGCAAAAAAAAAAATTAATTAACTAAAAGGGGCTGGAGCTATAGGTCAGCAGTGCAGTCCTTGCCTAGCGTGTGCAAGGTCCTGGGTTTATCCACCAGCACCACCAAAATACATAAATACATAAATAAATAAACATTAAAAAAATCTTTGCTTTCAAGCAAATGGCACAAGCTGGGCGTGGTGGTGCAGACCTGTAATGCCAGCACTCGGGAGGTTGGGGCAGGAGGATCCCCAGGAGTTCAAGGCCAGCCTGGGCTCCATAGCAACACCCTGTCCCAAAATAAATAAACAAATAGAATAAAGTGGTGCCAGTTTTTGTTCTTTTTGGAATTCTCCTTTTAAACTTTTTTGTGGTGGAGAACTTGAACGATACATAAAAAGTTCAGAGACCCATCTCATCAGTGTCCATCGCCCAGTGTGTACAACGGTCATCTCCTGGCCTGTCATGTCCCTCTGCACCCGCCACGCCTCCACTCTGTGATTTGAGGCCAATCCCAGGCCTGGTCCCAACTCAGCTGTCGTCAGGTGGGTCTTTCACTCTGCAGCTCCTCCTTGTGAACAGAGCCAGTGCCTCATGGTTATGGTCAGAACAACACATAAACAAATAGGGGAGAGCCCGCCTTAGTGGGGAGTCTTTCCCACCAGGAAAGCGAGCCAGGACCCGTCATGGGCACCCTAGTAATGTGCCGTGGTGGGTGGCACCACCCAGCAGGGCAGTGAGAAGTGGTGGGCACCCGCCCAGGGGCAGGGTCACCCAGACAGCCCCACCTGGCCCTCCAGAGGCCCTGCCAGCCCAGCCTCTCTGCAGCACCTGGGTCCTGTGAGACGCCATGCCTGAGCACCTCTCCACCCTGCATCTCAATGCCAAGCCCTCCTGAAAACCCGACCCTGTGCTCCATTCTCAGGACTGCCCAGCCCACTCCTAACTGGGCTGTGTGTCCATAGCACCCGTGGCCTGGCCTCACTACCACGATGCCAGCGGTGGTCTCTTCCCTGCCCCCTTGGCACTTCTCTGTAAGCCTCTCTCTCTCTCCAGGGTGCCCCCAACCCCTTCTGTTACGGCTGAAGTCACTGAGCCAAGTACCTACTATATACACTGGGCTCCTTTACAGGTGCGTCAGGCACTATCACCAGACACCCAAGCAGCTTTACTTTGGCTTGTGGTTTGAGGTCACAGTCCATGGTCAGGTAGCCCCATGTCTTCCAGGCAGCGATGGAGGACAACTGCTGGCCTCGTGGCAGCCAGGAAATGAGGAGGCAGGAAAGAGAGCTGGAGAGGGGAAGGCGCAGGGACCAGCCGTCCCCAAGGTCACACCCATGAGCTCCTTTCAGCCAGACCCCGTGTCCTGTGTCATCACCTCCCAATGCTGCCACCAGCCCACAGAGCATGTGGAAGCTGTCCATGGTCCTCAGTGTGGCTGTGGAAAGAGCTCTCCTGTCCTGACAACAGTGACGTAGCAGCTCTTCAGCTGAGCACCCCTTCTTGGCTGGGGAGGACGCCATGAGGGGTGTGTGGTCTTGGAGGACGCAGGGCCTGATGGACGCTAAACCCAGAGCCTGGTCTCACCGCCTTCGGGAGTGACCCTCCGGGGTAGGGGGGAGGCATTGCCCAGAAAACGCTCACAGCAGGAGGTGGTGGGCAGAGCTGCCCACTGGAGGTGTTGTGAAGGGGCAGAGACTGTGGATTTGGGACACAGACAAGAATCCCTTGGGTCCGGGGCTGGGGCTTTAGCTCAGCGGCATAAGCGCCTGCCTTGGAAGCAGGCAGTCATGAGTTCAATCC